TATTCCGATGTCTAGATGTTTTAACATACGGAGCTCTATAGCGCCATCCCGAAGGAAGAAGTTGGAACAGATTATATCCAGGATGAGAAGAGTGCAGATATCCTCTCTGCCCTCTCTTTGTTACATTAGCAAAGTTCACCTCCAGAGCACTTAAGCCCTCCTGCTACTCCACCATGCCAAGAATGCATGGGTTTTTGTCTAGATTCCTGTCTGTTTGCTTGGAGAGCAGGATCCAGGGGGAGTTGCTTGACTCAAATTCATTGTTATGAATTATTATTTGTAATTTCAGACGAATTCAACAGCTTCCAGAATCTGGTGATACATACTTTTAGTTTTCCTTAGACCAGTTAGAAAAATCAAATTTCCCATAGCCAACACTGAATTTCAACCAATTTGGTCATTTGCTGAAATCTATTGAAAGAAGTGCTGAACCCAATCCTATATGTTTTCATGATTTTATGAGCTACGTATGTAAAGTATAGGTGGGATATAAATATTTTACACAAATAAATAAAGCTATCTGCAGGTGCTCAAAGGCTCCATTCTCTAACCCTGGTGCAGAAAATGGTAGCTCTCAGATAAATCAGCATGAATCAGAAATGTAGGGATAAATCAAGCCAATTTGGGAGAACAGTTCGAATTTCCTATATAAATTGGGAGGGTCTAAAACCTACTAGTCCTTCATACACAACTTCTTTGTGCAGCCACGACAAAGTGGGAGGGATATATTTGTAGGGGTGCTCAGCATATTTGAGAGCCTCACAGCATAGGTGAGAGCCAGTTTGGTGTAGTGGTTAAGACACCAGGCTAGAAACCAGGAGACTCTGAGTTCTAGTCCCACCTTAGGCAGGAAGCCAGCTGGGTGACCTTGGGTCACTCCCTCTCTCGCAGCCCTAGGAAGAAGAAGGCAATGGCAAACCACTTCCAAAACCTTGCTAGGAAACCTGGAGGAACTAGTTCAGGCAGTCACCAGGAATCAAGATGAAATTAAAAGACGCTTGCTCCTTGGGAGGAAAACTATGGCAAACCTAGATAGCATATTAAAAAGCAGAGACGTCACCTT